GCTCGTGACACTGTTCTCTCTCCTGATCCATGTGTGCAGACTGCCACAATCACAGCTTAATCAGGCTGCGTCTGTGTCAGATGTTCTCATCCCCCACCCCAAACTGAGCTGTCCTCTCTACCAACAATTCAACTCCATATTCAGTGTGGAAAATGTATCTTACGCCCTTAAAATTGTTTTCTCTTATTATTGTTTTTCTATTTCACAATTACATGAGTTATTTTTATATCAGTTGTATGTATTGCACCTGTTTGCCTATTAACTTCGATCTAGCAATTGCTTTACCCTTAATAGTAGTGAAGGTTTTCTGAAGACTCTCCTCTGTGCTGGGAATTGGGGCCTCTCTGCCACACGCTGTTTCTCTTCTTTTCCTGTGTTGTTTTTTTTTTTTAATTTTGTGTTTAACACACCAAGAATTTAATAGAACTTAATTTGGGCAGTAAGATGGAGATTAATTTCATTTTACCTTTAATTCTGGAGTAATAGATTTGCATGCAGTCATTAGGAGGGATACAGTGTCAATGGAAAAAACACAAAGTGTCAGTGCTGCACGCCACGCTGGCTCTCAGTGAAGGGCTTTGGGGTTAGTACGGTCACCAGCAAGATGCCAGATAAACAAACACAACCAAATGTTCCAAATGTTATTTCCATGGCAGGTTGGTGGTTTTCCTGCCCCAGAAGAGTTCTAGAAGGTTCTTTCAACATTTATGTAACTGCACTGGGCACAGTTGGGGACACAGAGGGGAGCCTTCCAAGGGGCAGGATAAATGAAGTCTCAGCAAAATGAATTTTGAAGTTGAAATAGCCAGAAGAAATAACAAACGAAATGCCACCCGAGGACTGCTGGCTGGAACAAACCACCTGGCTGCCTGCCCTGTGGAAGGGCTCGGTCCACTACCCCACAGGCAACTTTGGAGCTGTGTGAATTCCCCTTGTGTTGCCAGGTGGCAGATGCCCAGCGTAGACGCCGACCGCCCCGTGTGCCTGATGCTCCGGACAGCCCAGCCCCCGCAGGCCCCGGCCGGCCCTGCCCCGTTCCAAGCCCATGAATCAGTCTCTGTCATGGCACCTGCTGACCAGCGGCCCGCAACCTGCAAGGTCTGACCTTCCTCCTCCACCTCAGCTGCAAACAGGGCAGGACGCGAAGCAGGTGCAGGCCCGGGTCGGGGAAGAAAGGCCGTCTGGGCACCGTCACCCCCGGGCCCCTCCCTGCTGCTAGGGACCCCTCTGCCCCAGGGGGCCACCCTTGGGGACCTCCCTCGGGACAGTGGGCCCCATCTGAGGCCCCTGCAAGTTCTCCTCCAGGTGTGGCCGGGAGCTTCCACCTGCTCCCGGAGCACCTGCCCTCACCCCTCTCACGCTGGGCTCTCGCGGGCTCTTTAGCTTTGTCCTCCCCGTGGGGCCTCTATGCAGCACTCACACGCACACATATGCACCATCACACGCACAGGTGTGCGGTCACAGCCCACGGGCCAGGGTGAGCTGCACACTGCAGGTGTGTGGAATTTGATGTGTTCGTGCAGACGCATTTACACTCACCTAAAAAGTATCAACACACACACACAGTGTGTATTCCACACGTATGTGAGTAGGTGACAGCTCTCTGCACGCACCGTCCCCACCCACGGGGCCTTGTGCAATCCCCTCATCGCCAGGGGCCACAGCTGTCACTCTGTCCAGTGGGCACAGGGCCCTGGCATGGACACACCAGCGTGTCCTCGTTCATGGAGGTGTTTCCATATTTTTCGTTGTTACGGAAAACATGCTGCAAAAGCATTTCCTTAAGGTCTCGCTGGGTCAAAGTGCACGCGCACCTTCAGTTTCATGTGTCGCCATGTGGCTTTCAGACGGGCTGTGACGCACGCATGTCCCCAAAGCCTGGCGAACACACGGGATACACTCGGCCACGCAGGCGGCGTGTTCTGCACACGTCTGTCAGGCCCGTGTGGTCTGCAGTGCGGTTCAGGTCTGTGTTTTCCTTGTTTCCTGCTGCCCGTTAGGGTACACAGGCACTGAAGGCTCCTACCGGCCCCGAGGTGCAGTCTGGTTCTCCCTTCCGACACGGCGGCGTGCGCCGTGTTCCATCCCGCGGCACACGGAGACATCCAGGCCGACAGCAGACCGCATGTGAGATGGTGGCTCCACGAGATCATGACACGTTATGTTTGCTGTACGTCCCGTGTCTGCACATGTGTGGACACACAGACCATCGCTGTGCGCCATCGTCTGCGCCGTCCAGCGCAGTCTGCAGCCCGGGAGCGGCCGGCCAGGGAGCACAGCCGGGGTGTAGCGGGCCGCACCCCGGGTCTGCCTCAGTGCTTTGTGGGGACGACCGTCTAACGACGTGTTTCTCAGAACACACGGTCGCTGGGTGGCGCGCTCTCCTGCTCGGGCCTGAACCAACCGGCAGGAGCGGCAGCCGGGAAGGGGTGTCATACTCACCGGATTTCTTGTGACCTTGACTGACATTTCACAGACTTCTTTGAGTTTGAGAGCCTTTAAGCACTCACCGGCCACTTCAACAGGGCCTTCTGTAAACTGTCCTTTCCCGTGTCCTGTGCCTACCACTTGAGGACACAGAGGTGACGCCGTGGGCCGGGACTCTCCCTGGGCTGGTGTCTCTCCTCCCCGAAGGACCCGGGGTTTGCTGGTTCCCCAAGTCCCGCGGCCCTTCACCCACATTCCGCAGACGCCGGGCACCTGCTATGCGCCGGATGCTCCGCCTGACACAGGGACCGGCCATCCTTGAGCACAGTCACCACCGGACTCACTGCCGCTGCACCTCCGGGCGACGCCGTCCTGCACAGGACACCCGCTCCCCCAGCTGCCCGCTGACCAGTAAGAGCCACTGAAGTCACACCTGCGAGTCGAACTTTGGGACCCGTTGGAAGTCGCGTGACTCACGTCCTTGTCATGCTTCGCGGCCGAGACTGCCCAGGGCTGACCCTGCGGGGCTGACCCGGGCCACATGCTGGGAGGACACGGGGCCTGGCCCGCCACAAGGTGCGTGCGGCATGGGCGTGGGGAGGAGTCGCCCCCGCTCTGAGACCGCCCTGCCTGGGCAGTGGAGGCCGAGCTCCTGCATGTCCAGCTGTGGCCTCCTGGGGACAAAGGGGCTTTGTGTCCGGGCACCTCTTCTCAGCGCTTCTCCTCTCGGCCCCAAGCACGGATCACGGCGGCGAGAGCTCTGACGTCCGTAACGTCCCTTCTCTACAAATGTGGCTTATTTTGGAGGTGCCCACGGCGGCGTCCCTGTGTCTGTCCCAGGACCCAGCTCACCTCCTCCCTCGCTGTCTTTGTCGGCGAGAGTGACAGCCCGTCACCGACAACGGTGAGAGCTCTGCCCAGGAGTCAGCCCAGGCGGGACGACCACCTCAAGTTGCTGTCTCCTGGCGCCAACCCTTCCTGGTGGCCTGCAGGCGGTGGCTGAGCCGCAGGGAGGTCAGGGAGAAACGAGGTGAAGTTCTGTGTCTGGGCCTCGGCACCAGGGAAGCTGCCGGGATGCCGTGAAGGCAGAGGGAGGCGCCACGGGGCTCACACAGGTCTGAACGTGTGCAAAGAGGCTGACACGCACACGCACACGCAGACGCGTGCAGATTACTTTGCGCAGGGCCACGTGACCCAGTCTGGACCTCTAGGGCCAGCAGAGGCTTCCCAGGTTCCCAGCCGTAGTCTGGACAGGCCGTGCCGGTCCTCACCGGGCCCACAATGCGGCGGAGTTACCATCCACCAACGGTCCTTCCCGCACCCTGGCCCACTCCTTCCTGCTGCACCAGAGCCCGATGTCCTCAGCCGCCAGTGAGGAGAGGGAGCGCAGAGGAGGGAGGTGCCCGGCAGGACCCCACGGCTCCCTGGGGGTGCAGCACTCGGGGCCCAGTCTGCTGCCCCGGACGGGCGGAGCTGCAACCGCCGCCCAACACTGAGCACCGCAAGCCCCGAGGGACGGCCGCAAACCTCCACGGACGGCTAATTGCAGGAAGCCACGCGACCGCTCAAGAGCTCACCCAAATGCCGGGCTGTTTCCCTCAGAGCCTTCATGCTCGTGTCAAGGCACCCACGCGGAAACTGCAAAACCTACTCTCGTGACTTAGCCTCGATGACACCGTGCTGAGAAACTGCCCGAGAAGGCGGACACGGCCTGGCTGCTGGGGCCCCGCCATCCTCGCCTGTGGACCGGAGCTGCGTCGCAGACGCAGAGAGCAGCCTCGGCTCCCTGCCGCACTCAGGGCTGCATGCGGGGCTGCACACGGAGGGTTCCAGACACACACTCAGCGTGCACCCCGCCCACCCTGCCACGCTGTCCTCCCGGCCCCCGAGGCCCTCAGGAAGCCATGCGGGACCGCCAGCCGCCCCCGGCGGGCGGCGGCTACCGAGCTCTGGCGACGCACAGGAGGGCGGTGGAAGTTCCAGCTGGAAACCCGGCGGCGGAGCTGACTCGGTTCCCATGAAACCCCCTGGCCTCGGTGAAAGCGTCTCTTCCGCACACGCGCCGGGCGCCTCAGCCAGCTCTGCGGGGGGAGGGCAGTGTCACCTGCTTACTCAGCGGCTCAGCTTTAACTCTGAGAGCCGGTGCCACAGACGCCACCAGGCCCGGGCATTTCCTGGTCTCAGAACATTCTTCACTTTGAGCCGGACACGAAACAGTAATCTTAACTTTTTTCAGCCGCTGTCAATTACTGAGCTGGACCAATAAGAAACATAAAAAACAAATAAACCTCCCCCCCAGATGTGGCATTCCCCTTTGCAATGGACCACACACATTTCTCGTGTAGAAGGCAAAGGCATCTCTTTCAAAGTCACTGTCCTGTCACCCTAGCTCTGTGGGCAGCGCAACAGTAAGCCCTCAGGCCCCCGACGCCGCCCACGGAGAACAGCGCTCGCCATGCTGACAAACACGGCTCTCTTGTGCACGCGTGCACACACGTGCGCACACACACACACACACACAGACTTTTAGGGATTGTAACTGTCGCTCAAAAATAAAAGAACTGAAACTACTCTGCATGTGATGTGCTGCTTTCTTTTACTTGAAATGAGGACAGCAGCTGGTCACGCTAGAGGGTGACGGCATCGTGGGGGGTTAAGACAGATCTCGCTCTCGTGGCTGCCCAGCTCCTGATTTCAAGAGACGCCCACGAGTCCTTTAAAGCCATTGGACACTGTCCTCCGAGACGATCCGCCACACGGCGCTGTGCGAAGGCGGGGCCGGACCGCAGCCAGGCAGCGCGTCACTGGACGTCATCGTCATCAAAGAGATCCTCAAAGTCTAGGTAAACAAACACAGCCACATGTTAGCGGGGCGCACAAGGGCAAGCAACTGAGGGGATCACTTCAAAATTAATTCTACGGAGTTCGAGACACAGAGAAAACAGCAAACAACCTAACTGAAGACTTTTCCCGCGACAGACTCTTATCCACCAGGGCTCACGGATGTGGTCCAAGAGGAAAGCGCTCTCTAGAGTGCGTTTTCAGTCTGGTTTTTATTAAGGTGATCTTAAGAAGAGGCGTGCAGGGGTGCTCTGGAGCACGCGGACAGCCACCAAGTAGCGTGGCTGAGCACCGGGACGCGCCAGCGCCCACATCTGCCACGGCTGCTCCTGCTAAGGGAAGGGCAAGGCGAGGGGCAGGTGCTGACGTGCGGTGGGCTGGAGAAAGCAGGCGGACCAGGCCGCGGGAGAACTGCTCCCTGTGAGGGAGGCTGCGGGGCGGCCAAGCTCGACAATCACAGCCCAAGCCGTCCCTGCCGGAAGAAACGCAGCGAACGCACAGTACGCTGCTTTGGACAATCAGAGTTGTGGCCGCGTCGTCCTTCTGTTTACTTTCGTACATTTTCCAAACTCCCTACCGTCGTCAAGTATTTCCTTCTCAGTGGGAAAGACAAACCGCAGAACCCATTTGTGTGCAAGGGAAACGTGCAGTGTGATCAGGAATTAGAAAGGGACGTCCAGGTCCTCGGTGGTAAGACAGCGAAGAGGCCGGCGGCCTGCTCACACCGCCTCGCCGGGCAGCGACCGGGCACCTCTGGCCACGCACAGGGGCCTGGCTCTCCCCAGCTGCGCTGACAGGCGCCACACCCTCGGCCCACGGCCCACAGAGTGTGGCTCTGCGCCCTGAGAACTTCGCCCGGCTCCTGCCCCTGCCTGACTCCTCCACACCGAGAGCCTCTGCGCTGCTCTCACCTCCAGAGAACCTTCTCCCTCCAGAGAACCTTCTCCCTCCAGAGAACCTTCTCCCTCCAGAGAACCTCTGGCAGGTGCTCCCAGAGACAGTCCCACCCGTCCTGTGTCAGGCTCACCACGCTAACGTCCCTGCTGGCTAACTTGTCTAGACCCGCTGCTGTTTTGTAAAACACAGCGAGGGAAGAGAAATCTTGTTCGTGGTTAAAACCCCGCTGCCCAGGGAATGACAGCTCATCAGATCCTGTCTGTCTGGTGAACAAAGAGGACCTGGCGGCAGCCCTATGCGAAGCCCACACAGAGATCTCACGTCGACGGCTTCCTCAGCACAGGGGACACCACACCCTGACGGGACGGCGTGCGCCTCTGGACTTGGTCAGGGGGTGGGCGGAGGGCCGAGGCGCTCTCCCACGCTCCCTCCTTCCTTTCGCTGTGGCGCAAGGGGGGAAAGGTGCCCACAGCTCCCGCGTTCAGGCGCTCACTGGCAGGCCAGCCTGGGCCCTCGGAGCTGCTTTCCCATCAGAACTGAAGGGCTGCTTTCAGAACCACAGGGACTCAAACGGCAGAGCACAGCCGACCGCCTCTAACCCAAGGGTCTGGCAGAGGATGAAGGGACTCCAGAGGAGAGCGTCACACTGTGCGTCCCCCATGCCAGCATCAGCAATCACACAGTCCTGCCCATGTGAGCAGCCTTCAGGGTCGCCCCGCGTGAGCTGCTGTTTTCATAAAGGCGGCTTTGGAGAGCGCTCCGCACCCCTGCGCAACCTGCCCCTCTCACAGCTACGCCCCTGCGTGAAGAACTGAGAAAGGCTACTCAGCTCTTAAGGCTGGGCTCCAATGTCACTCCTCCCAGTTCTGACTCCAGTTGGGGACAGCCAGGATGTGGCCCAGGGCGGCAGCCAGGTGCCCCGGGGAAGCCTGCACCCCAACTCAGCTGCCTGGCTTCTCCCCTCAGCAGGTAACTGGCTGACAACAGCAGACAAAGGAGCATGGACTTGGGGTTCCGGGGGCCCTGGGTGAGTCAGGAACCACTGCGGCAAGACAGAATCCCAGCCGTTACTATAAACCAGAGTTCTCTGTGGGGCAAGCACCAGGGAATACAGTAGGATGAAAAAAGGAGAAAAAATACCACTTAACTCCCCCGAGTAAGAAACCCTTCTTGTGTTTCTAGTTATTGAACCCTTAGTAAGGGCTAACATAATCTGAGGAGCAAGGCCTTAAGAAGCCAGAAGAGAGCAAGGGAAACATCCCTTTACCACATCTGAAGACACTGTATATTTTATATAAAGTCAGGTTTCCACTGTGTATTTGGCATGATCTTGGCAAGCAGCAGAAAGCTCTTAAACACAAGACGGGCCTGTCCCGTGTGGTGCATTCAGAGGCTGGGAAGGGTGAGTGCCGGAGCATGGCTGTCACCCTGCAAAGGCGGCCAAGGGCACGGGAACCCCGCGGGCACACGAGGTGGCTGGGAAGGGTGAGTGCCGGAGCGTGGCTGTCACCCTGCAAAGGCACCAAGGGCACGGGAACCCCGCGGGCACACGAGGTGGCTGGGAAGGGTGAGCGCCGGAGCGTGGCTGTCACCCTGCAAAGGCGGCCAAGGGCACGGGAACCCCGCGGGCACACGAGGTGGCTGGGAAGGGACATGAAGGCGACACCTGGAGAGTGCTGGGACGAGAGAGCACCACCGGGCAAGCCAGCCGGGTTCTACGCCCGAGTCCCAGGCAACAGGCCAGACCTGCTACGGTCTCGGGTCCACAGGCGTGCGCTGGCACTAACGCCAGAGCTCACACTCGACTACTGGGACACACGACACGGAGCGACTTCATGCTACTTTTCTCCTGAAAACCAGGGCTGACGGCCAGCGCTCACACCAGTGCCATCACTTGCGTGACCGCACTGCATCCCGACAGTGGCACCGGGTCTGGGCTTTATTGTCCTTTGACACAAATCATTCCTGTCACAAAGTTGCTCTGCTGCCCTGACCTGCAGAAACATCCAGATTGCATCTGGCACCCCAAGTCCGGCATCCTTACCGTTAAAAAAGTCTGCGTGAACCGCCTTTTCATTGGCTGCCAAGTCCATCAAGAGCCCGGTGCTGCCGCCTGCCTGGAACGGGAAGGCAAGGTTATGTCAGCTGCGTCTTCCGAGAACAGGCGATGGCACATTGCTGTGTCCACAAACAGGAAGGTGGGTGATGGGAAAAGTGCTCAAGTTGGAGTCAGAAGTACGGCTCCAGACAGAGGGAGCGTGTGCCAGGGAGACTGAAAACAATTATGAATATCGACCGTTTTTAAGGTCTCTCAAGGTCACACATTCCTTGATTCCTCCTTGCCTTTTGAAAAGAAATCTACCATTGCTTGAAGCACAACCACTTCTCTGTAAACCTCGAGAAGAGGTTTCCAGCCCCCACTGGACATCACCAGAGCCACAAATGTGCAAAGCCAAGCTGGTCATTTCTCCACTCTGGATCCCTTCTGCTGAGAACTAAACCACTTCCCTCGGGAAAAGTGACCCTCGCTGGCCCTGAGGTTCCGGTGGGGGCTGCCGTCACGGGACCCTCACTGCCACAGCTCGGCTGTGGTGGTAAAACCATGCCACGACCAAAGCCTGGCAATCTGATGCACTTGGGATTTTCAATCAAGTGTGGAGTTGTCACCCAGTGACAATCGGAGCAGAACCCTCTGAGAGCAGCACCCACCCTGCACAGCTGGCCACAGGTCCCCACAGCTGCACCGGCTCCCACATTCCCAAAGCTGCTTGCCCACCCCGTCCCTGGTTCTCAAGTAGCCGAGCACTGCCAATGTTCCCTTTCATGGATGCCCTCAGCACCTCAGGGAAAACCCAGGATTCCAGCTTCCTCCCTTCTCGTCTCAGCCTCCCTCCCGGGCCCAATCGCCACATTTAGCCGCACAGACTCCGCCACTTAAATACTCGGTTCAGTTCATCCCTACTCCCACCTGCCTCATCCAGACCCTCTTCAAGTCTCCTGTTCACATTTTTCTACTCTCTCACCCCAAACCTAATCCCTCCCACAGAGCAAATCAGAGCCTGTCCCTCCCCACTGTAAAGCCCTCCAGCCACTCCATATTGCCTCGGGCAGTGACTCTGAAACAAGACTGAGGAGACTGGATTTATGGGACATGCTTCAGCAGTGGGGGCACAGAGCTACCATTTTAGCACGGCTACTGACTGCTTCATGAGCTGGCACTGTGAGCTCCGCCACGTCAACTGACATGGTGTTCCTTCCCTGAGTGAGCCGTGGGTGTCACTAAGGGAGGAGAAGGGCTCTGCTCCTGCCAGGCTTGCTTCCTTCATCCCCATCTACTGGGCAAACACCAACGTGTCCTTCAGCCTTCTGAGCCACCCTGAAGCCCTGAGGATTCTTCCCCTAGTGCAACCCTGGCTTTCAATCACACCTGGTGTTTGCGATCAGCCAGCGCCTGCCACATCCGCAACTCCCCAAGCACAAGGCCCGCGGGTTCCATTGCTATCCGAGCTCTGGAGAAGAACCTGGAGCCCCTGACACCCAGGAACTGGCAGAGCACGTCCCGAGACTACACGTTTTAGTGTCACTTACTATTGAACATAAACCATACCACGGAAGACCCACGTCAGACGAGGTCACTCTGTGACCAGGAGGGAGTAAGGCCAACAAAACCAGACCACTTCATAATCGGCATAATTATAGAAAAGCACTAAGTCACTGTGCCAAGCGCAAAAATGCCAAACGCCCCTTTCTCCCCCAGGAGCTGCGAGGGCTGGCAGCCGCTTCCTTACCAAGGCGGTTTTTAGCCTTGCTCAGTCTCCCTCGTTCTGGCCAAGATTTGCGGAGAGTCACTCGGAGAACGGCCCTCGCCTGCCGACAGCGCCCACTCCCGGCAAAGCCCGCTTTCCCCCACAAATCCGCTAACAGCACTGCAGACACCTGCCCGCGGAGACCCGTGGTTCCCGGGATGGCTGCCTCACCGAGGAGCCATAAACCCCACGTCTCCCGCCGCAGCTGTGCCCGGTGGGCCCCGCAGACGGCCCCGCGCCCGCATCCCCGGGCCGGGCGACGCTACACAGTCGCCGCCGGACGCCCCGCCCGCCCCGGTCCCCGCCGGGGTCCGCGCTCGTCTCCGCGGGCAGGGAGGGCCGGCGCGCGCGTCCCCAGCCGCCGGGCCGGCCCGCACCCCGCGCCCGCTCCCCACGCTCGGAGCCGCCCGCCCGGCCCGCCCGGCCCGCCTTACTTCGTCCAGGTCCACGTAGGGCCCGGCGCCCTCGGGGAACATCTCGTCCACCGCCGGCTTCATGGCGGGCCCGCGGCGCTCTACGACCACTTCCGGCCGCGACGGCCGCTTCCGGTGCGGCGGCCGCGGCAGGTCTAGACGCCGGAGGACGCGGGCTCGGTGGTGTCGCAGTGGCCCGCGGCAGGTGCTGGCTCTGGGCGACGCGCGGCCGCCACGGCAGGAACAGGCCCCCAGAAACACGTGCAGGTCACCGACAAGGGGCTGGCCGCCAGAATCCAGAATGCAGGGAGAACGCCAAAAACAAACAAACAACCAGCCAGATTCAAAAGTGGGCCAAGGAGTTGAACAGACGCTTCTCCGAAGACGACGACGTGCAAAAGGCCGAGGGGCGCGCGCAGATGCGCGTGTGCAGCAGAACTGCCATCAGATAGGGCGCTGCAGTTCCCTTCTGGGCTGTCCCCAAAAGCACTGAAAGCGGAGACTGGGAGACGCACTGGGACACCCACGTCGGTGGCTGGAGTATTCGTGGCAGCCCGGGTGTCCACTGAGGCAGGACCGGGTAGACAGGTGTGGGGCAGATTGAGCCTTAACTAGGAAGGGAGCCCCGCCACACGCTGTGACATGCACGAGCCTTGAGGACGTCATGCCAAGCGGAATAAACCGCTCACGGAAAGGCCAACACCGTATGACAGCACTTACCTGAGGTCCCAGGGTCCTCGGATCCATAGTCACAGGACATAGGACGGTGGGTGTCCAGGGGTGGGAGTCAGCGTTTCGTGGGGAAGGTGTCAGCTTAGGGAAGATGAAAAAGTTCTGGAGAGGGACCCTGGTGACGGCCACACGACAGCGTGAATGTGCTTAATGCTAGGCAACGGTGCACTCAGCAGTGGTCGAGGTGGCCAATTTTATGTTACAGTTTACCGCAATTTTAGCAAAAGAATGTGAATGAGAGACAAGAGGGGAGAGAGGAAGAAAAGGAGGAGAGAGGGAGGAACTTGAGCTAGACTTTGTCACAGATTCTTTGCTTGTCCGAACTTTAGTGAGGTTAAAAGTTAAAAGTTGTTAAAGGGAAAATTATCCTGTTCAGTGCAGGCCCCCGAACCTCCTCCTAGGCCTGTCCTCCTACTTCCTTGGAAAATCTGGTTTTAGTAAAGAGCCTGTGTAGCCAGGAGCCGCCCACAGTATCTGACCAGGTTCCTCACCCCGCCCGGGTGGTGTCTGAGCACCTGCAGAACCCCCCACCCGACCCTGATGTCTCCTCCTGGTAATTTCCCACCGAGGCCCCGCCCTGCCCTTGCCCATCAACCTGCACCTGCCCGGGCTGGGTTGGGAGTAGAGCCCAGTCTCTCCCCGAGTGCAAGACCCCATCGCGGTGGCCCCTGCACCTGTCATGACCTCCTGAATAGCGTATGCATGTGCTTCATCAAGGACTGTTGGATAATTTTTTCTTTAACAACTTTTAGAAGTAGGTTGGCTCCGGGGCTGAGCCGCTAGAGGAGGGAGGTGGTGGGGGGAGGGTGGGTCCGGGGAGACAGGACTGGGCCGAGATGTGAGGGAGGTGTGGCCTGGGCCGGGGCCACCCGGCCTGCGTGGACACTGTGGGTGCAGGCAGGAGCAGAGCCGGACACGTGGGTGAGCCTCTGGTCCACACCCACGCGAGTCACCCTGGAGTACCAGAGTGGAGGTCAGACCACGAGACTGGGGCTCGCTGGTGACCAGGAGGAGCGGTCCATAAACCAAGCTCTTCCCCAGCCAGCAGGGCGGAGCTGAGGGGCTCCAGTGTCTGCTTGCACACTTTGGAGGGCTGGGGGGCTCACTACCTGTTCAGAGGATGTCCCACTGCTGGATGCCCATCCCTGAGGCTCTGTCCACGCTGCCTACCCACCCTGCACTCCCTCAGAGTGCCCAGGTGAAGCCCCTTCCTTCCGGCAGCCTAGAGCCTGCAGCCTTCTCCTGGAAGACCAAGTGTCCCCAGCGCCCTGGGCCGTGACGCTCCCACACAGATGGCCTGCCATTCCTGTGCACTCTGCTCTGGGGTGTGCCGTGCTGTGACGTGCGGCCGCTGTGGGTTGCTGCTGCCCAGGTTAGGGGCCCAGCAGGGGCCGCCCGGACTGGGGTCTGGTTCCCTCTGCCCAGCTGCGGGACCTTAAGTCCGGCAGTGACCTGTGTCTCTGCCTCGGTTTCCTCACCCATGATCTGGGGGACCTGCAGCCGCCCTGGCCACGGTGATCGCGAGGTGAGAGAGTGACTCAGGAAGCGCCAGTCCTGAGCCGGCGCGCGTGCCCTGCTGACACGCGTGTAGACGGAAATGTGCACGTATGTATGGAAGAAGTGTTGACCAGCAATCAGAATCAAACCAGGTTCACTTGTCAAGTGAAGTCAGTGGGACCCGAGCGCAGCTGTTTCTCAAAACACAACCCACAGGCGTTTGCTGCGCATCTTCTGTCAGGAGTTTATTGAGTGTGAGGACAGCACCCCCACTGCCCCCCCAGCCATGGCTCCCGGATGCCCCCAGACCTGCCCTGAGGCCTGGCCAAGCGCAGCCTGGCGGGGTGGGCTGTCCCCGGGCTGGACGCTGCTCAGTCCTCCTGGTAGGGGACGTGGAAGCCCAGGGTGGTCCCCAGGGGGAAGTGGGCGAAGAAGGTGCGGGCCATGTCCTGCAGCTGGGGGTAGGCGCCGACCGTCTGGAAGTATTGCACGTAGTTCCAGAAGTCAGAGGTGGAGAAAGGCCAGTAGGGCATGGCCGGCAGCTCCGCGTAAGGGTCTGGAAGACACATGGCGCCAGCCTCAGGGCTGTCCCCTCTGTCCGGCCCGGAGTCCGGTCCATGGAGGCCTCGGGGCGAGTGGGTGGTGCCCAACTGGGCCTACACTGATGGAACCTTCCGGCTCAGGGCCGGAGCCTGGGCTGTCCCTGACCTGGGTGGAGTGATGACCTAGGCTCTTGAGGACACCTGACCTGGGGGCCAAGGAAGAGGAGGGGGGAAAGGACGGGGCCAGTTCTAGTCTGGAGGATCCTGGGCAGGCAGAGAGCCGGAGCTTGGGGGTGCAGGGGCCCTGGCCATGTCCTGACGGGATTTCAAAGGCAAGCACAGCCCCCACTCCCCCCATCCTAGAGTGCAGGTGAGGACGGCCCTGGCAATTCTGGACTGAGTCAGCACCCAGGGCAGGAGGGGCTGGGGGCTGGAGCCCAGGTGTGAGGTGGCAATGTCACGGGTGGGCAGGGGCCCTGGCTGCCCAGGGTTGCTGGAGGGCAGGGCCTAGGCCCGGAGAGGCTCGGAGTCCCCGTGCCTGTGCAGCGCCGGGCTGGCCGGGGGCTGTTGTGTGCTCAGGCCTGCACTGAGCCTGGCTCTCCACGTGTCTGCTTGGGAGAAGCAGCCACTGCCCTCCCCTCCACCCCCCGCCCCCACCCAGAGCACCAGTTACTGACACACAGATGAAAGGAAAGAAGCCAGAGCACGTACCTCCCTCCTCCTGCACAGGCTTGGCCCCTGCAAGCGAAGAGAAGGGCTGTCACGTACGCGGCCCACGCTCCCGGGAAAGGCAGGGCGGGCAGCAGGGCGCCCCCAGGCCCGCCCCACACCTGCTGCAGGGCTCGTGGCAGGGAGCAGGGGGGGGGTGCTAGAGGTCACGCCTCGAGCCCTCACCTGCGAGAGGCCCCAGCAGGAGGCAGAGGACCAGCCCCGGCACCACACCGACGACGAGCATCTTCCCCAGGGGCACCTGGCCCAGCTCACTCACGCACCTGCAGCAGGAGGGAGAGACTCACTCACGCACCAGGCACACCTGGTCCAGCTCACTCACACACCTGCAGCAGGAGGGAGAGACTCACTCACGCACCAGGCGCACCTGGTCCAGCTCACTCACGCACCTGCAGCAGGAGGGAGAGACTCACTCATGCACCAGGCGCACCTGGTCCAGCTCACGCACCTGCAGCATGAGGGAGAGACTCACTCATGCACCAGGCGCACCTGCTGCAGGAGGGAGAGACTCACTCACACACCAAGCGCACCTGGTCCAGCTCACTCACGCACCTGCAGCAGGAGGGAGAGACTCACTCATGCACCAGGCACACCTGGTCCAGCTCACGCACCTGCAGCATGAGGGAGAGACTCACTCACACACCAAGCGCACCTGGTCCAGCTCACTCACGCACCAGGCGCACCTGGCCCAGCTCACGTACCTGCAGCAGGAGGGAGAGACTCACTCACGCACCAGGCGCACCTGGCCCAGCTCACGTACCTGCAGCAGGAGGGAGAGACTCACTCACGCACCAGGCGCACCTGGTCCAGCTCACTCACGCACCTGCTGCAGGAGGGAGAGACACCCACCCAGCCGTCGGGGCAGCTTCCTCCGCCAGCCCCAGCACGAGCAGCGCTCGGGCAAACGGTGCTGGTAGAAAGACAATTTCTTACTGTTTTCAAGCAATTTCAACGTCAGTAATGGTCTAGACCATTATTCAGAGGTGAAATCCCCACCTCGGCTGGCCTGAGTTCATTTTCACTATTTAAGAGATTGCGCTCAGCCCCCACCCCCACCTGGCCGAGGGTGCAGCCTGAACCCTGCGGAGGTTACCTGGCGGCCTGTCCGCTCAGCCCAGCCGCAGCCCGGACGGGTCTGCCGCAGGCTCCGGGGCCTCTTTATACAAAGGGGCTGGAGACGGGCAGGAAGCGTCGCCTGCCTGAACTGTCAGCCTGAATATTCCGTCCCCCGCAGGGGACTGAGGGCCTCTGTAACCCGCTGGCAGGCAGAGCCAGGGATCAGCTTTTGGGAATGTATCCAAAGATCAAACGGAGAGAAAAACATCTTCGCACAGACCATTTTTAAGATTTTTAGGACTGAGTTCAACGTCGGTACTTGAAATAAACCCAATTTCCTCTCCCCTAGGAGAGACGTTCTGTGTGATGTCGGGGCTGGCTGGGTTTCCTCCGCCGTGAGGAGGGGCTGAGGACCCAGAGCTGCCCACCCAGGAGGAGACCCTCGGAGAGCCCCCCAGCCCGGGTCGGGGGCTGCTGCCTCAGGGCACCCGCTGAGCAGACTCACAGGCGGGAAGGGTGGGGTCAGGCTGGACTCGTGTCCGCAGAGAACCCTCCCGCCTTTACTAAGCAGCAGCCCGTGGCTGGGAAGGAGACAGTCCCACGCCCGGGACAGCAGAAGCCAGCACCGAGGGTCCCTGCGGGTTCGGCCACTCTCCGTACTGACCACGACGCCCCGTGCACCTCGTCTCTCCAGTGGGGGCAGCCTCGGGGCCCTGCCCCTTGGGGTCCCCTGGCCCCGCTGGGTCCAGGCGCATGTCCACATGGTTCCTGGCCACCTTAGGGCATTTCAAGGAGGCTGGGCCCCTCCTCGCCCCTCGTCCTGCGGTTCCCCACCTTCATCACAGCCGGCCACGTGTGCCCACCTGAAGCATTAAGGGCTCACCGTCCCAGGCCAGCACCCTGCTTCTCACACGATGCCCAGGGAGGTCCTGGATTCAGCTCAGGTGGTCAAGCAGCCTCCTCCCCGGCGAGGCTTCGGGCCGCATTGTCAGAAATCTGCGTCCATGTTTATGAGAGGAAATGGATTCTCTCTTGGGCGGTTGTGTCCGAGGCCCAGGACCACCCCAGGCAGGCGACTGGCTGCAGGGGCTGCAGGACTCGCACCCAGGGCTGAGACCCATCAGGACCAGCGCAGGGTCTACCCAGGGCTGAGCCCAGCCGGCAGGAGACATGGCCCAGCGGGCAGCGGGCAGCAGGCAGGGCTCAGACGGGTCCCCTGGAAGGGACAAGGTGCTGGCACAGGACGGATCTCAGACCTAGGTGACCCGGGGCGGGCGGGACGGGGCCGGACCCCAGCGGGCAGGGACTGAATCAAAGCCCGACTGGCCTGGCCGACTGGCTGGTCTCTGGCGCCCCCTGCTGCCCAGCATGCAGCACTGCGGGAGCCAAGGGCCTGGCCCGCCCACCTGTCTGCTTGAGGCAGGGCTGGCACCTGGGTCAGCACCTGGGTCAGCACCTGTGTGCCCTCCCCAACCCATTCACTCTGTCCTGTGTCCCCGGTCCTGGAAGAGGACGCCACCTTCCTGCCTGGCTGTGTTCTGGCGATTTCTCTCCCGGCCCGCCCTGGAGTGTCGTCCCAACTGGTTAGTGTCAGAGCCCAGAGTCCCCTGCGGGCGGCCACCCTGCCATGTGTCCTCGCCGAGTCACATGGGGATGTGACCCTGACGAACTTCACTTTGCCTGACAGCTCCTTGGCTGCCGCCCTCCCTCCATCAAGCCCCCGGCAGAGCCTGGACACGGAGGAGCAAGTTCAGGGACACCTAACAGTCACCTGTGTTTGTCCCCAAGATTCTAATCATACTCGTTATTTTAATAAAAGAACTTAATTAAATATCTCCTGAATTCTAATAAATGTAAAAACAAAGGGCTTTGGGGGGGAAAACAAGGTTGACTGGGAAAGGCCTGCTTAAGGTGAAAATTGGGAAAACCTGTCCACTTGGACATTCTTGTGACAACGTTAGAGGGCTGGAGCCGAGCGGTGGAAACCCAGCAGGACCCGACCTCGGGCTGCCCAGCACCGGCGTCCTCACCGCTTCCTCTCGGGGCCCCCAAGCTGGGGTGACTGGAGGTGCCTCGCTCTCACGGGACTCTGCACAGCGGGGCCCCCCCGGGGTGCGGTTCATGCCGGCACGTGGTCAAAGTGAAGTCTCCGTCCGGTCAGCAGGCTGGCCAGCGAAGGCACGCCTGTGTCACGTGAGCCGCCGTGTTTAAGGCCTGTATGTTTCTTCGTGTTTTGCGATTTCATTCCTTCCCTTAACTGACCGTGGTGAGGATTTCTGCCCGTGACAAGGGCCTCTCCAGACACAAAGGGAAGCCCGGCCTGGGGTGCAGAGGGACCGGGACACCGGGGACCCCTGGGACTCTAGCTGGCCTGAAAAAAATGCAGGATGCTCAGCTAGACATAAATTTCGGATAATCAGTTAACTACTTTTTAGCATAAGTGTGTCCCAATTATTGCCAGGGATATGTTTATACTAAAAGTTATTCCGTGTGTAACCGACATGCCAATTTAACCTGTGTTTTCATCTGTTATATCTGGCGACCCTGTGCAGGACAGAGTCACGCGGCCCGGATTGGCCCTTGGTTCCCTGCCCAGGTCTGGCCAAGAGCCAGGGCTTCCGGCACATGCCGGCAGCAAGAAGGGGTTCCAGCCCTGAGCACCAGCGTGGCCCCAGCCCTAGGGGCAGGCAGGCAGCTCTCCACGCTAGAAAGGGTTGTCTTTGAGATCAGGGCATGACACAGGACCAGCCGTGGGCTGCAGCCCTGAACCCCCCAGGTAACCAAGGCCCCTGGCCGGGGACACCCAGGGACGCGCGGCTGTCTGGAGCTGGCCTGGGTGGGGCTCACCACAGAGCCAGAGGGACAGGCAGACCACTGCTGGCAGAGCCCCCCCCCTTCTCTGGGGCTTGGGGCTAGGGAGGGGGACACAGACGGGCACTTGGGGTCCCCGAGAGAGAAATGCACATCACACACCCCCACTGCTGTGTCCCTGGTGACCTCCTTTTCTCCCCACACTTACATCCCTCATGGAGAGAGACGCCCTGGGGTGGCAGCTGCAGAAGGGCTGGTGTCAGACCCCGGCCCAGGAAGACACCATGGCCCACCCAGCCCCGGGACACCCACCCCTGCCCGAGCCCACACAGTGCCCAGCTGGCTCTCGCTGTCCTCTCCTGAAGCCACTGACACGGGTCCCAGTTGGTCCAGGACACCTGGAGACACAGAGAGTCAGGCACCAAGAGTAGGTGCCCCAACCTGGTGACACAGGACCCTGCTCCCTGGAACGGGGCTTGCCGAGGCCTGTCCACAGGCTCTGACCACCACCCCTGGCCCGACACCACTAGAGGCACATGCTGGGGGATCTATCTAACTCTAGCCCAGCCTTTCAGCCACTCCTCTGTACCCCGAATTCCTCATCCCACCGTGTTCCCAGGGGTACAGTGGGGAGGGGCTGGGTGTGGCTCGTGGTTTGGCTCTTTGCCGGGTTGGGGGGGTCCTGGATCTCTCCAGCCGGGCTGGCCAGGGGTGGACTGTGGGGGTCCCAGGAAGCAGCAGGGGCCCTGGGGCCGGGCAGGAGCTTGGAACCCCTCCTTGGTCAGGCGGGGAGATGGTCCTGTCCTGCCCACGGGGCTGACACAGACTGGTTGGGGGTGTTGTACAGTCAGTGACCTCAGAGCTTCTGCTGTGTTGGCTCACCAGGTACACCACACGGCACAGCACACCCATCTGAGAGCACGACACGCTGGGTCTTCACCTGCGCACCTGCTCACCACGACCCGGACCAGGGTACAGACCCTCTCCAGCGCCCAGAGTTCCCGCCTGCCAGCACCTCCGCTGTTAGCCAAGAAAGCCACGCCCACACGCAGCCCTTCCGGACCCTTCCCTCCGGTGTTGTCGCCTGCATTTCTGCCTCAGGACTTCCAGGCAGGCGGACACCTGGACTGAATGAGACCTTCTCCACTCCTCCTCGTCACCTTCCCTGGGAAGGAGGGCTGGGCCAGACCCCTGCTAAGGCCTTTCCAGGCTCCTAGCATCTGGGGTTTGGGAAAACAGAAACCCCGGAACGGGGACGGAAGCGCACTGGCGTGCAGACACCAGCAGGGGGCAGCCCTGCGCAGTCAGTGCAGCACAGGTGTCAGGCGGCAGGTGAGGCTGGGGGCAGGGCTGCGAGGCTCCCGCAGGGGTATATCTGGGGGGCGAGGAGAGTGTCCCCCCCATCCCTGCCAAGGACCCCAGAGGCAGGTGTGGCTGCAGCGCCCGGGTCCCTGTGCAGCCGAAGGGCCGCGCAGGCTGTTCACTTTGCAGACGGAAAACGGGCTGGGAGGAGGGGAGAGCCCTGTGGGGTGAGAACTCTGGGGGTCCCCAGCTAGGTCCCTCCTCTGGGAGGTGCACCCTGCCCTCTGACCCTGCCCGCCCAGGCCCCTCCCCCGGGGGTCACTCACTCCCCAAGGACACGTCACCTGCTTCCTGCCAGGCCGTCTCCGGTTCAGAGTCTCGGGGTCCCCATTTCCTTGTGGGGTCTTCGCCAGCTTCTGGGGGCACAGCAGGCAGGTGACAAGTGACCAGGCTCCTCCCCACCCCGACTGCATCACCCCTGCCCACCTAGGGCGAGCGTCCAGAACGCAGAGGCGCCAGGACCCTTGCGTGGGGGGCCCACCGCCGGTTCCTCCCCAGCTCTGCGTCTGCAGCCCAGGCTGGTCTCAGGCCGTGCGGGGGGGCTCGTCCAGAGAGGGCTGGACTTGGCTCTGGCTGTGCCCCTCATTGGCTATGGGACCCCGTGCAAGCTACTTCATGCCTCAGTTTCCCCATCTGTAAAATGGGGTGACCCGGGGCTGTGAAGGGGACTGAGGGGAGGGTTCCCCGGCTCATAGGAGCTCCCCACAGACATCAGCTTCCCCCCTCCCCCCGCTGTCATCAGAGCCTCACCACGTGCAGCTCGCCACCCCCCCACCCCAAAAGCGAC